CATATTTAGACTAGCATAATTGTACCTTTAAAACAAAATCACTTCCAAGTTGCACCTTCATATGACATGAAGCTCAGTTCAGGTAGACAGATTGAAGAGTTATCATGTTCTTAATGCTCAGGTGCACCGATGGCTAAGTCATTGAATTCTTAAATGACCGAAAGGCTACAAATCCAAAAACTCACTAGGACCAAATGGTTTGATGTACTAAAAAAATATTAAAAAAAAACTCAGTGACTTGTGGACTTTTGATTTATGGATACATATCTACATTTGTTGGTGGTTTAATGACCATTAGGCTTATGACTCGAGAAATTTCTCAAGTGTGAGCCTTTAAGAAACATATCCTCACATTTCAACCCGTTAAATAGTTTGAATTGAAAGTTTTAGATTTTGACACAAAATATGCAAAATTCTGTTTAGTTTGGTTTTAAAATATCTTTTCTACTTCTTGTTGTTGTTTTTGTTTTTTTTTTTTGGAAAAAATATAAACTAGTTTGATGATTCTTCTTAAGTTCAAAGCTTTGATCTTCTTCAAACAACCCTATAGCTCATCAACATGGATGGAACTAACATCCATATACTTGATGCTCACATCATATGTATCAATGGATGTAGTAATAGATATTCTGAAAGGGATCACAATCAAATATCTAGTGAGATGTAACATGAAAGATCACCACCTCTTCTTTCATACATACTATCCATCTATGAATCAATAGCATATCAAAACCTCCAAAAAGGCTTTGGAATAACCAGTCCAAGTCCAACCAAGCATTTGGATGCAAAAGAGGACCTGCTTTTAATATACTGAAATTTGAACTCATAACCAGCTATCATTTTTGGCAAGATTTCCCCATTAATTTGAATACATTTTCCTTATTTCAATTTGAAAATTTATAACTTAGACCTACATTTTGACTGATTTCACAGATCATAATAAGTTCCATCAATTTTGATCTAACTTAAATCCATTAGTTATTATCTCCTCTCAGATCTCAACGAAACACAAGATTGAATTCATATTTTGTCTGAGACTACATAAACACCCAAAAAAAAATCAATAATAATAATAAAATAATTTCACTTAAATCTAATTCAATTTGGAAAACCATCACACATATAAAATGGGACTTCCAAACATGAAAGTAACACAAATAAAATTAGATGGAGGGAGTAGGCTCCTATAATTATTTTGTTTTGGCATGTCTTTCTGTCCATTTGAGAGTGCCAACCAAGATGAAACTTGTATGATCTGATTCATAGATTATAACATTTGACAGGCTAAAACTTATTCTAATTCAATTACTTGCATCATTGTTATGAGCATCGCAAGAAGCGCATACGAACCAATTGCAACAATATACACCTGTATATTTTTAGGACTCTAAAATTAGGCAAATCAAAAGGAAAAGTTTGTAGGAAAACTAATCACAAGAAGTAAATCAATCCACACCTCATTTAACTCTCTTTGTTGCAAAAAAATTTTCAAGATGAAATACAATGGCTGTAATGGGGACCAATTAGATATGGCATCCTGAAAGAGAATCACATGTATATTACAAATTGCAAGAACTATATAGAAAGAACTCATGCATATCCGACGCAAGTAAGAATTTTATTGTATATGTGAGAAACTCATCAACTACATGTGCATAGATATACATATGTCTACATATATTTACTTGTTTGAAACATATTTAAAGAGCCTTTATTCCAAAACTTATCACAATATGTGAAATATGAAGAGCTTATATTAAGGAGAAGCGCATAAATGACATAACTAGTTACCCGATTGCTCTTCTTTGTTGCCCATGCCCATATATGAAGAATTCTGGTGTGCTATCTAACCTATTTCATGGTTATACATTAGGTTGTTGTTCATTTAAAAATAAATCAGATTGGAGCAAAATACCAAGATAGGACTAAAATAACGAGGAATCTAGAGAAGAAGAAGAAGAAGAAGAAGAAGAAGAAGAAGAAGAAGAAGTGGTACTTGAATGGATTTTGCACTTTTTCTGGAAGAACAGATCAGTTCTAGAAGGATCAATCTCTTGCTCCACTACAATCAAAATTCCTGGAAAGTCTTTACTACAATTGCAAATAAAAAAAATGAAAATGTTGAGAAGCAATAATTAGAAGTACAACCAAAAAAATTTGGGCATGTCAATACAAACACCAAAAATTACGAACATAATTAAAAATTCAAATTACCAATAAAAAATTTAGTTTACCTCTGCCAACCAAAAACAAGAACAAAAAATTAACTAAACAAAATCAATCAATATGCAGGTTGTACACACACACACACACACACACACACACACACATATGTACACATATGTTTTTTAAGCATATATATGTTTACCATTTTATCAGTGGATTCAGCAGAGCATGTCATGGCAAGCATGTCAAGCTGGTTTGTTCAAATTTCACTATAGGTATGGATCATAAATATTATGCTGATATAACCGAGAAATAAATTAGATGAGATAGAATGAAAAAATATCAAGATTAATAGTAAACGGATCATCGGAGTTCAATTTTCATACCATCCAAATCCAATACTAGGGTAGTGGATTTCATTTTCTGTTGTGATCATGTATATGCTTTACATATACAAAAGATATTTCAAAATCTAATAAAGATTTTAGTTCAATTTTTGCAGAACTAGTCACCTTGTTTGGTATAGACTGATTTTTTGAAAATTGAGATTTCTAAAAGATGGCATAAGCTGATGTCCTATTCTAGTCATTAGAGCAAAAGAATTTACCAATATAATGTAAGAATATCATTCTCGTAAGAAGTTGCCATAACAACTATAGTTACCAAAAGCCAAAGAACCAAAAAGACAAATAAAAACCCAATGAACCTTCAACCTTGTGATCACATTTTTTAGAAAATCACCAATCCATCATCTAAGTTTCAAAGATCAAAACACAAAATTAATTACTCCACTTGTTAATGAAGAATTAATTGCTTTAACCAACCAAGCCACACAAACCTTAAACATGACAATGACATCCACCTAATTTCTTGTTCAAAATTATCTTTGTTTCTAATTAGCAAACATCAAAGAAACATCAAAGAGTACCAAATTTGATTTTTCACATTCTTATACCCTAATACAAACCACCAGCCAACAAAAGAATCTAACCAAAATTTTAATTTAATTAATTATTCTTAAATTTTTGACCAAATTGACCCCAAAAATTGATTCATCTGGGTCCTCATTAATTATTCTCCTATCTTTATATTTGGGAGTATCATATTTCAATATTCTATTTGAGAGAAATAATCCATAACATAACAATACTCAGAACTAAACAGCAACTTAGCCAAGTTAGCCATTGCATAGTTCAACTTCAAAGGGTTGTCGTAACATTAACTATGTTGAACTCTAACAAAGAATTAGAATTTGCTACAAGCAGTCTAAAACCCAAGTGAAATGTTCCATAAAGAGAACCTCATGAATTATGCATAAGAAACACAATTAAAAAATAATTATCGACGCTTACTTCTAGTTCAACTTATGGCATTATACAAAAAGCAATTCCTAGATATTTGCAAAGTTCAATTCAAAAAGCAATTTTAAGGAACTCAAGTACAAGTTGGATTGGGATGAAGAATAAGTAGAGAAAACTCGCATCAAATGAATAGAAGAACTAGAATATAGGTTGTCCAAAACACAAAGTTCCCGCAACAAGAAGTTCCAATTCTATGATTTGACTAAGTCATAAAATTTAAAATTCAAGTTCTGATAGTTTTGTACCTTTCCAAATGCCTTCTCAAATGCTGCTATTATTTCCAAAACTGACGTTCCTTTTCAATTGTTGCAAACAACACACTACAAGAGGAGAAGAAAACGAGTTCATATGTCAAAAACCTAATCAACAAATGATTTCAAATTTAACAAATAAATTCGATTAACATTGAAATTCTGCTGATATGATAACCATGAGTCATTGGAAATCATGAAAAACCACCAAGAAAACAAATAATACAACTTCAAAAAGGATTTTGCCAAGTTTAACCTTCGGTACAAATAGTTTCATTCACATCATTAACAGAGGCAATTCCCTAGATACATCATACATTACTAAGAAGGGTCACTTACATAAATGTTAAGCATAGATATTTATGTACATAGATTCTCTAGATCTATATATCTATGAAAGTGTATTTTATAAAATTCACACTTCAAACACAAAATGGGTGACTAGAATACAATATTTAGGACCTAACTTATTAGTAAAGAAAAAAAATGATGAAACTCTCTGCTCTACATTCCCAAAATTAATCAAGAAACTAGTTCCATCTAAGTTTGTCTTTGACAGGATATCTAACTTAGTACAATGCCTAGCTAAATTGGAGTGGCAGCAAAATAGCACAAGGCTAACAATCAAGCTTTTTGCTTCGACTATATCTAAATTTGCAGTTTTTCTAGATGATAAACCATCCTGGTATAGGAAACATTCTTCAAGATGGTTTTAATTTTCTATGATGAAATTCATCCCAAGCAGGTTTAAGGTTCTATTGTAAGAGAGAAATGAATTTAGCAGCTGCCAATGAAGCATAGGTACTTCAAAAATGGTGTTGTACAAGTACCGGGTACTCACCAGGTGTGGGTACGCGTACCGGGTACGCCGAATACATGTCGGGTACGACAAATACATTTGGGTATGGCACAGGTATGACAAGTTTTTTTTTGTTTTTGGTGCAGCTGCTAGAATTTGTTGTTACATTTATTATTATTCTTTTAACTTTAAAAAATCATTAAGTAATTTATTTTCAACACCCTTTACCTTTGAGTTATGGTTTTGCTCTCTTTTACATCTTGTTTTAAACAGTTACAAAAGAAAAAGAAAGAATTATATAATTTTTTAAACCAGTTGTTCTCTATTTAGTTTTGATATTGAAACTTTGATTTGTATGTTAGATGTTTAGCTATAAATTTCAAAAAAAAAAAAAAAAAAAAAATGGTGGACAAACTCATCCAAATGATAGATTTTTATCCCTAGAACAAATTGAGGATTGATTTTTCTTGACAATATCACTTCTTCACAAAGCTTATATATTTGATTTAGACGAAAGCTGAGACTCTGAGAGAGAGAGAGAGAGAGAGAATGGCGATGGAGTCGGATAATGGAGCTTTCATGGAGAAATTCATACTAGAAGCAAGCTCTTCTTCACCTCATGAACTTGCCTTAAAAGGACTCACCTTTGCCGTTAAAGACATGTGAGTCCCTTCACTTTCGGCTCTTCACACACTGTATTAGTATTGCCCAACTAAATTCTATCAGTTTTCATCACTATGATTGCTTAATTTTTGTGGGTTCAAGTCTTTATGCTTGTTTATAACTGATTCCAAACTCATTGAACAATTTCAGCTACTGGCTACTTTCTTTATCTTTTGTCCAATATGTATATATATGAAAATGCTTTAACACCACTGCAATATTATCCCTAAATTTTCCCAATGACGTGAATTGTTACTTGTCATTTGTTGATTTATTTAAAAATCGATCAATTAAGATGCAGTCCCTGTAATGTTTGATATTTGAGGGGGTGTCTAGCATTTACATATATAATATACTAATTCAAATAAATAAATAAATAAATAACAAAAAACAAATGATAAGGAAATTGATAGGAAAATATGTGTCTTGCTCAAGTGGAAATTATTTCTTAGACCTAAGGTTTTTTTTTTTTTTTTAAATACGTGGCATGAAGAGAAGCAAAGGCTACCCGCTTCTCTTCATCTTCCTATTTAGTTTTTTTTTCTAATTCATCTTCCTATTTAGTTTTCAATCCACAAATAATAATTTAATCTCCTGCATTTTTATAAAATTCAATCCCAAAATTCCTTGATTTGAAGTTCATCAATCTAAATGCAACCTTTTTTTTTTGTTTTGTTTTGTTTTGTAGCATGTTTGTGTGTTATATATTTTGTTTTAATATGACAATTGGATGCAGATTTGATTTGGATGGATATGTTACTGGGTTTGGAAATCCCGATTGGGCACGGACCCATTCGGCTGCCACGTCAACAGCTCCAGCAGTTTTGGCTGTGTTGAGGGAAGGTGCTACATGTATAGGTAAAACTGTCATGGATGAAATGGCATACAGGTTAGAGTCAAACACCCTGTTCTTATACATGGCTCTTTTGTTCTTGTTGGAAGAAGTTTTTGGATGGTACTATAATATCTTCAAGAATAAGTTCGTATTCTTTATAAAATATAAAATAAAGTTATGCTGGAAATTGGGAAGGGAAGCATTAGTTCATATGTGAGACTCAATTGCATGGTAAACTTTGCAACAAATCTAAACAGTCATGCATCCATTGTAATTTGTGTTGAACAATTACACCAAATAATTCACATCGCATGTTATTATATAATACACTATACAATGTATTTGAATATTTAAGGCATTTCCACATGTCTGCACTTAACTTTTGGATACATATCCCTAATACAAGATTTAAGGCTTAGGGAGGTCTAATCCAGAACGTAGTTGGCTAGATTGTTCTTGTAAACAATTTTGATAACTGAAAGAAGACTAATAAATTGAAAATATCAATTACTTCAAGCATTTAGAAACCCTTGTCAAAATGAAGTAGTCTCATTTTTTTTATTTTTTTTTGTTTCCCATAATTTTATTTTTCCCAGTTTTCTTCCTCTAGCCCATTCCCCTATTTAAAATAGAGACACTTCTAGGGTTTCTAAAATCATATCATGTCTAGGATTTCTAGGAAAGATAGAAAAACAATTTCTATATTTAATTTTTTGGTTGTGATGATTTCTATTGTTTTATTAATCCATTGCAATCTACAATTCGGTGCATATAAACATGTTTAGTATTCGCGCAGGATTGTAAATTACATTGTTAAAATAATTATCTTTCGGCAGTATAAATGGAGAAAACAAACATTATGGGACACCCAAAAATCCATGTGCACCAGATCTGGTGCCTGGAGGATCTTCTAGTGGATCTGCTGTTGCAGTTGCTGCAATGCTTGTAGATTTCTCCTTAGGTGAGTTTTGTCATTGTTGTAAAATATTTTGTGGTTTTTCGGTATATCCTTCGTAAGTTAGAGCAAAAGGTTCCCTTTATTACAGGTACTGACACTGGAGGAAGTGTAAGAGTTCCTGCATCATTTTGTGGGATTTTGGGGTTCCGGCCTTCTCATGGTGTTGTTTCAACCACTGGGGTCATTCCTATGGCACAGAGTTTCGACACTGTCGGTAAGGGAGCATCTATATTATCAAATTACAATCAACTACACTTGTTTTGCAATTTATCTAGTGACTTGAAAAGCCTGAATGCAACATATGGACCAAGAGCAGTATTCATATAATAAAGTGTGAATGTTGAAAGTATTCAAGTATCTTTTGACCCAAGAAGTGAACTTCTCAATGATTTCTTGTGAAAACTGTAATCTAAATGTCACAAGACATTATTGAATGCATTCTGCATTTTATTTTGAATTAAAATGACTACTCCCAAGCCCCAAACTGGACAGGAAGTACAAGAATATCATTGCTAATATCTTGGTTGTCTTGAAGCTTACCAGTTATCTTGAATTTGACAAAATCTATGTTACATGAACTCGTCTACTACCCCTAGTGTCCCTATGTCCACTGGATATGACCAGGGTAAGAGTGTGAGATATGTGTCCGACACCGGTATCTACTTGGATCTACTAATTTTATATGATGTTTGAAGAAGAAGACACTCAAATTTGCTAGTAAATAAACATTTCTCACTTTAAGACATGTCCTTGTACCCATACCCAACTTTGAATGCATATCCCAATATCCTAAGATTTAGGTTTACGAAGATCTGACGCTTGGACATGCACCCGTACCCGAGTCCATGTAACATAGGACAATATCATGTCATAAAAAATGTGTTGCAAGTAAGACTATCTATAAACTTCTAAGTTCCTCCCCCACCCCGTAATTAAGTTTTTGCGGGGACCAAGGTGGCATTCCTATATCTTCGTAATTAATCAGCAACTCATTCCTATATCTGCGTAAGTTTATTTTCTGATAAGTTTATAGTTGTCATGAATAAGAAATTTGTACCTTGTAGTGTTTTTAATCAGCAACTCATTCTTTGGCTGCACTTGTTATCCAGGATGGTTTGCTAGGGATGCAGAGATCTTGAACCGAGTCG